TACGTTCAAAGGATGCTCAACATGTATGGAAGAAATGGTTTGTTGGAGTGACTGGAAGAGAACTTAGTGATTTGACTACATCTACTTTCAGTCGTGGAACTAAGCGCAAATGTGTCATTGAGTCTCGTGCCAGAAAGATATCTAACAGTAATTACAGCAGTAGTTACTCAGCACCAATATCAGAGAAAAAGGGCAGCATTAGCATTAAAGAATATGACCTGAAAACGTTTAAAAACGAGGACGACATACAAAAGGGTGATCTTATAAAAGAAGAAGATGAAACTCATGAAAGCAATATCCCTGAAGAAAATACAAAGGAAGACATGGCCCATGAAGATGATACTACTATTACAGTTAAAGTGGAAGTGACTGTCAGTAACACTGACCCTGAGGCTACTGAAGCTGATCCTGTTGTGAGTGAGACAACATTCACTAAACCTGATGACAATGAAACGGAAGCTCTTGAAGCTCCTGAGCTATGTGTAAAAGATGAACAGAAAGTCATACAGCAGGAAAATGAAGATAATACTTTTACAACAGAGATCACAGTTGAGCCTGAAGCAACTGCTGCTACCAATGTTGCTGTTACTGTGAGTGAGAAGAAATTCACTGCATCATTTCCTGAAGATGATGACGATAAATACGAGAAAGAGAGGCTCCGCCAAGAAGAAGAAAGAGCTTACAATGCTTATCATAAAAAAGAATAACTATAATACATTAGTACGAGTTTGTAGATTAGAGAAACTTCATAGTAGATATTAGAAAACTTTATTTTAAGTCTGTCAATGATTAATTCTAGTTTCTAAAACCTCTACATTTCTTTTTTACATTAAGTATCTTTGCTGTATTGGTCTTTAGCCTTTTATCAGCATTATAAATCTACAAAATGATTAACAGAAATCCTCTTATATAGACCTGAGGTGGGTGTACATTGATTAATATTTATTTTTATGACATAATAGAAAAAGATGACAGTGAGGGTTTGGTTGTGATGAGGATACTGAGAAATAACCTTATGAACATTGACCAAATCTAACTTAATAATGAATTATTATTAACTTCATTAGCTTCATGTCAATCTTACCAATGCACCTAAAATATTACTTTAAAAAAAATTTATGACACCAGTACCTTGATTTGCATAGATTATTGTTCACACCTTGATGTGTAAGAAATGGCAAATTTTATTTTTAGTATTTTTTTGCCTAGTCTCATGTATCTTTGGGCTCTCATGTATTATTAGATTTTTATGCTAACAACGCCTCTAGATTTATGATTTTCTTAATACATGTATGTGTATCATTATGTATATCTGTTGCATATCAATTGCAAGAATCAATTACTTGTAATGTTTCACTTAACCCACATGATACTGCTTTAGTCTAACTATACACAGGTGCTATATGCACATAAAATCTTCTTAAAATTAGTGGCTAACAAAGTGTATTTTTTAAATGCCTCATGCCTTAAGAAAAGGCTAAATAGAGCTATGTGTTTTTCAAACTTCACACAACAAAAGTATTGTAAAAATTTAAGCTAAGCTACTCTAATAAAAATGCTATGAATCATCATTGCTATTGCATCTGTTGTTTGTTCTTACTTAGCAGGAACAAACAACAGATTCAATGGCAATGATAATTAAATGCATTTTCATTTAGAGTAGCTTAGCTACTTACATAGGCCACAGCTGGAACATAAACATTAAAACCAGATGTTCTAATAGCTGCATTAATAAAAAGTTATGATTCCAAATTATTGTTTGTACAAAGTAAGTGATTATAGTTGTCTTTAGACCATATGAGCACTTTTAATTGACTTGTTGTCCTGCAAAAGACATAAGTACTTTGTTGATTGACTGCAATCAATCTATAAAAAGTCTTCTTTCTAAAATAAATGGAATGTATTATAACGTACATAAATGAGCAGTGTAAAAAATATAAATAACTCATAAATTGCAAATTAAGTATTTCATTAGAGCTGTAATGAACCCTCAAAACATGTACACATCAAGTATTTATGTTTATTCAAGGGGACAATAAATTGTTTATAGTTACTTCCGTTACTTATTTTATTTAAAAGGTTTTAATTCAAACATCTACCGACAAAAAGCTAAAATGTTTTTTGCTGTGCTTTTGTGTCTCACATACTCAGTTCATTTTTCAATTCAAAGTAAGTAATGCTACAAAATCAAGAAATCATTATTTTTTACTATTTTAGGTCCAATATTGAGTCCCTTTAGTACACCACAGCATAAGAATGAATACAAAAACAACTCAACTAATAGTGGTAATGTCATAAATCTACTATAAATAGTATGATTAATTAGTAGAGAAGAAGTATAGCTATTAATGTACTGTATTAAGTTAGTTGGTAGTAAAAAGGAGAATGTTATTCACTTGCTTTAATTTAAGTTTCTCAATGTAGCCTTGTATTCTATAATTGTAATATCTGTACTTCATCTCATACATTGAAAGTAAAACACACTTACATCTGTCTTTGTTTATATTAACAGATGATTGGAGTACAGCTGCCAGTACACATGTTGTTGGTATATTACCAATGCTAACCGCTCAATTCATTTCACTTATCATCACTACTCCAGAAACAGAAACAGTGAACTTTACAATCAGTTCTCTCACCCAAACAATAGCTAAGGGTTCAGTTACTGCTGGTACACCAACAAATATCAGTGACCCTGCATTATTGCCTTACCATGTTAATAGTGAATCTGAGCGACATAAAGG